AGATCAGAGAGGAGGATAATTCTGCTGACACAGTCTCCTGCTGATGATCACCAATGGCTTACTTATTGGATTTAATTTGCTCTGATTACGCTGTTTGAATAACCATTGCCAAAGCCATTGAGTGGTAATTCCTTTTCTTTTTCAAAATGTAGTTCCTATGTTTTATTTCACTTATTTATATATGGGTTTGCACTGAATGTGATTTTTCGAAACGTATATTGGTTGTATAAAATTGATTCATAAAATTTTAGAGTGAATTTTTCGTTCTGTTGTTGTTTAACTTACAAAAAAAACAACATATATATACACACACACGGCTGGTGAGGATCTTTTGGAAAATAAATTATTGATTCTTTGTTTTGTTTCAGCAATAAATTATTGGTTGCAATAAATTGTAATTGCAGGAAAGAAAATCTTTAATATACTGTTGCCATGAAATCTTTGATATACAAAATAAAATAACACCATGAAATGAACCACACACCGCTCCCACTAAAACCCACGAAAATGTGTTGTGACACCACGATCCACATCCTCCATAGAACCAGCAGCCAAACCATGCTGATGATAATGATGATTCAGATTCCTAAGGTACCTAAGAAGATCCTCCACACCCCCAGTGTAATTTACACGGGGTTTTATTTTTTTGATGTGGAGGAGTTTCTTTTTTTTTTCTTGATGCGGAGGAGTTTCTATGGTTATAAACACCCAACATAAATTTATCCATGTTATTAAGGGTTGAAGTAGAGTTCCAGGATTTGAAATTATCAAAAGCGGATAATGCCAAAGCTAAGTGGACACTTGGAGAAGTAATTTGATCATTCCTCATAGCTTCATAATGATCAAAGAGACGCATCCTTTCATCAGCTTTTAACAAAAACGGATGATCCACCACCTTTTTGACAAAATTATCATATCTGAAAAGACAAAAAGAACATCCTATAAGAAATGAAGTAAAAAGGGAAAAGATAAAATAAAATAAAAGAGATAGACAACTCACTCCAAATTCAAAGTCTTAGCATGGTTGACAAAATCAAAGAAGTGTTGACATTCCAGCCAACTTCTTTTGCCCCCCGTTAGTATCGATTCGAACCAGTTGTCCAACATCCCTAAGGGCACTTCCAGCAGTCAAACCCTTGCCATGGCAAGGGGGGGGCTAAGGCTGACACTATTCACATGAATAGTGTCTGCCCCTTGCAAAAAGTAAGTTGCACTTCCAGCAGTTGCCCGGGCAAAGGGCAAGTACTATTCAATTTTTTGTTTTTTTCACAAATTTGTTTACCTAAACAATTAATTTGGACAATATTTTCGGATAAAATTTTTGGGTTCGTACTTGTCAATACTTGAGTAAAAAGTGAATAATAGTAGAAGTAGAAGAAAATGTATGAGGATTTGGTGTTGAAAGTGAAGAGTTTTGGGTACAATTTTTTGGGTATAGAAAAAAATTACAGAATTTTTGGGTATTTTTTAAAAAAAAATTCGATTTTTTTCATTTTTTTATTGCACAAAAATTGGCTGCCGTTGGATTGGAGGAAAAATTCTGATCGGAGAGCCCAGAACGCGACACTTGGCAGAGAGCTGTTGGTAGCACTGTAGCGGAGCACTGTAGCAGATGACGTCAGCAGCCTTCGGGCCAGCACTCGGGCTGTTTCTGCCTTTGGGCCAGCCCAGGCAGGTGGACCCCAGTAGTTGCCCGGGCTGGACTTTGTTGCTGGAAATGGGTTTTGGCGTTTTACCCCCCCCAGCCCTTGCCCTAGGGGGCTGCTGGAACTGCCCTTATGTCATGGCGTCAATAGAAGGATTCCAAATTTAAAATTTGAAATCTATTTTCATCAGTATTAAACTCATCCAAATCTCCCTTAATGTTAATTACCTTCAGACATTTGCCAATAAATACATAATTATTCTCCGAACCCAACCCACCATGATATAACCCCTTAGAATGTATGCGACGTACACCATCAATCAACTCCCTACAAACAATACGAAGAATTTATGACAAATACAATTAAAACTAAACAAAACTATAACCAGTGATTTTAACAAAATCTAACCAACTACGTACCTTATAGAAACACGCCAAAATTCGTTAAGAGGACCACCATTGCCAGTCTTGATGGGTAGTTTAAGCTCATCATAATAACCATAATTTCTCTTCACCAGATTCGTCCAATCTTTAAGATTGTGTTCGAAGCTATCATAACATATAGTTCAGATTCCTTTCTTCATATCTGCATTATTAGGCAAGTAGCGAAATAAGATCTGCTTTTGTCGAGAGAACAAATAAGTCCATGGCTTTAAAACAACACCATCATTAGCTGCAGCAGTCCTTAGAAATATTTTTTTTGCATCTTCTCCAGCAACTTTTACAAACACCACATTTATTCGTGCCCCCCCCCCAGATAAATGCAAATGCCCCTTATACAATTCTTGAGAAAGGGATAACAAAGCCTAGAACCAATGACCTTGTGCTTTGAATTATTTTCATCGTGCAACCGTTGAACAAAGTTAGATAAGTCTCCCTGGTCATCCATTTTACTGAAAAGAATTCTTAGCAATGAAAGTAATCTGCAAGAAAAGATATAAACAAACAAACATTTAATAAAACACATTGCATCTTCTCCAGCAACTTTTAATTAGCCAGCAAACAAAGTACACATTGCAAACAGTATCCTTAGAAAAAACTTGAGCTCAAAAAGAAGAGTAAGGTAAAAAAAAAACCAGCATTGTACATCCTAAGAAAACTGAGATGCACAACTCTAACCTGTCTGCCGCGCAAATCTCACGGCCTGGAGTTCCGGGCCGAGGGGATATGCGTTAACACGCGGTTTCCTGCTTTTGGGTGCGGTGCGGTTTGTGCGCGGGCGTGCCAGCACGGTCTACCGTGCGTCGATGTATTGATGAGTGTTGGATGGTTGAGTGGTGCGCCTGTTTGAACTCGTCTTCCTAATCAAACGATTGTAGCCGAGAGAGGAACTGGTCTCGGCTGTTAGGTTCACGGCCTGAACTACAAGGCCGTTGAGTGATGGTGTAGGTGGTGGGTTTTGGGCGGTGCTCCGGCGCGCTGCTCAGGGAGCGACAGTCGTATGATATATGGGGTGAGTGAACGAACAACAAGGATGGTGCTCCGGTGCCTTGAAAATCAAGGGTCGTATGATATATTGATGAATGGATTTTCCTTACAATCTAACACTA